TCTCACCTGCACTTCAAATCCCCGCAAATTGAAATATCTCCCGGAGTCTTATGTTCCCGGTTAACAACAAACCTCCTCGCGGATCTCACTCGTCCATTCTAATACCGGTAGAAGCGTCAGTTTCCGCGTATGCTTCTCGCTAGAGTCCATCATACTTTCGTAACAAAATGCGGAACTCGCGTAATTCGTGAGCGAATTTTACTTCGTTCACAATAAATCAAAAATACATATATAAAACGATATTTCTAAAGGCTGTCTGAGATCTAAAAAACGAAAACTTTATTAAATTGGACCAATAATAAATAAAATATTTTGCTCGTGTAAACATAGGCGGCATTTTATCTCGTTCAATAAATCAAATATATATATAAAGTGATTTCTAAAAGCACACGATTGTCCGAAATGTAACGAAAACTTCATTAAATTAGATCAATGAATATTTTGCAAAGATTTATCTACTTACATGTATGTGAAAGAACGATTTCAAATGTTATCAATTTAATAAATGTGATAATACAATACATGTAAAAATAACTGAAAGTAATTAATATAATTATACAATATTTCATAAATTTTATATTTGGGAGATTAATTACATTTAAAAAATCCTACAAAAATATGACACAAAATTATAATAGTTTTAATCAATTAAATTTGACATCGTAGGATTCGCATTCGAACTTACAGAATTAAACAATATTAATTTGTTTTAACTCGCTTATTTTAAAATATTATTTTAGTGATTCTAGGAAATATTATATTTAACTGTCATATTTTTTTTTAAACATAACTTGAAACATATATTTATGTTATATACTTGCGTCTCTTTTTGCATATCTGATAAAATATTCACATAGCTCCGTTACCTTAAATTAAAATATAATACAATTTATCTATGTAAAATACAGCAACAGATTGTGACTGCATCAACTAACATACAATACCCACTTGCAAGTTAATTACGATCGCGCGATACTTTGCACGGCATTTCTGGCATTAATCACGTAATGCGCGTCGCTATGCTTACAAAGTTGCAACGGAAAGATAATACGAAAAAAATATTATGGCGTGAAACTATAATCCGTTCAACACTAGCGCTGTCTTGTAAAAGCGCAACAAACAAATTTTCAATGACGGAGGATTTTAGCAAATGCACAAACGATGACTGCTACGCACAGTTGGTTAAATTATTTATGATCGGCAATTTCTAGAACTGAATATATATATATATAAATTTATACCGAAAATATTATTTAAGCAATAAGATTCAGCTTGATATAGCTTTCGTTACTTATTCACATTTACGGATTTAAGACGTTTTGTTTAAATTATTAAAACGTGGAAATAAGATACTTTGTTCAATTATCAAAATATGAGATTAATTACGATTCATATATCAATCAGCTCGGAGTTAATTTGGCATCCATAATATTCTATTAATGATAAAGAAATTCGAATATGACATTAGAAACTTTATTCTGATTCAATTTATTATAATTTGTTTATTAAGATACAATGAATCGAAAATATAATTGAAATTCAATATTACACAAGCATATATACGTCGCAATATATTCAACTTTAAGCGTTATTAAAGACACAATTATTACCTGTAAACATTACAATGGAACAATCGTTTATAATTTCTATCTCTTTTACTTCACTTTCTATTTTAAAAATGTATAAATTAAGTAAAATATGCTTCGAAGTAAATAAGTAATATCGTTTAACATTTACGAGATATCAATTGCGAAATTGAAATTGCAAACCCTAATATTTCGATGAAAGTGTTTCTAAGTAATGATAGCGTTTAGCATCTTTAATTGATATTTATAAGTGTTTCTCCAAATTATGAGACATATGAGAACGAAACGTTTGGGATTCAAAGTACGAATGGCAACGCGATGAGCTTGGCTGCATTCAAAAATTTCACCTGGATATTATACATCTATGTATCATTTTATCTCTGTTCACCGAATGTCAAACAAGAATAAAATGATCGTTGCACTCGGGAGTTTCTGAATACAGTCCTTGTATGTATATATATACGTGTATATATACACAACGTTAAATTATACACATGCAGTCGAGCGCCTTAATAATAATAAATCGCTATACGAAACATAATATGTTTTACGAAATAAATGTATGCTGAATATTTTAAATTTCTCGTATTTTAAGTTAAATATTAATGAATGATTGGTATATGTATATACATATATATACAGGGTCATCACCAAATATTTTATGACTTGATAGAGCGGAGTAAACTGTCCTCTACCATTTTGCAATTTTTGCCCATGAAATATTTAGCGATTATTTTGGGACACCCTGTATATATATATATACACACATATATACATATATACATATATATATATATTGAGAATACAAATTAGTTCGGTCCGTTTCCTTAAAGTTGTGAATGGT